AGCTGCAACATCAATTGGCTGCGTTCCAACGACTTTATACATTCCCGTGCCTATTACTGGCTCGTTAACCAGATCTTTATTGGAACGATTTGACGGTGGTGAGATTGAAACATTCCCAACGACAGACGGTACGCCGAGTTGAATAGTTTTCCTTGTAGAAGCAGGCTTTGTTTCTTTCCCATTACCTGAAATACAACATATACAGAATAATTTGTTAATGCTGTATTGAACATTTAAATGATACATGTGTACAAGAGATAAACTAATAACTACAAAAATCACACGATAGATATATATATATATATATATATTTGGTTTTACATTTTTGGCTAATGCACATGCACACAGAGAAAAAAGTGGAGATAAACTACATAACATGACATACAAATCATACATTGCCTATATACAAGAACCAATAAACCCACCAATTTTATTAATGAATTTTTTTCGCGAGGCGGGTGGTGGCATTTTCCAAACAGGCTCATCTTTATTTGCTGGTAAAGAATGAGGCTTTGCTGCTAAGCGCTTTGCACGTCTGCGCCAATTATATTTTTCCAGATGTGGTACTGTAGCCCACAGCTCTCCTAATCGCTTAGAAATTGCCGCAAAATCTACAAAAAGCAACAATCAATAAACAACATCGAAATTGCATGCATTTATAACTTAAGAAAAAAAAATCTCTGATACCCATGTAAGGAGATTGCTCTAACAGTTCTTGCCTAATTTTCTTTGCCCATAGCATGTAAGCAGTAAATCTTGTTTTCTAAAAATGTCAAAAAATTAAGGTCCTCCTTTGATATTCATTCTTCAATAGTACATACCCCTTTATCCTTGCGTTGGGATTTTGTTTTGCCTACAATTTTTCCATCCTTAATAATCAATTTTTTCTTAGATTTTTCAAGCATGTATAAACTATTTGCTTGTGATGGTGTTTCCTGACCTAGTGGTGGCTCCAGCTTTCTGAATCCCATTTCTCTTTCGTCAATCAAGAGAGGATCTACTTCATCACTTCCAGAGTCTATACTCTCATCCTCGTTTATCCCAGAGGGATCATCGGATTCTGAACTGGACGACTGTCCCTCATTATCAGACAGTGGTTCTATCTTAAGCCTTTGTTGTGCATGAATCGAACCAGAATTCTTTCTCTGTTGTCCAATGTTACCCACTTGGGTAGATTGCATGGGCAATATCTGCTGTTGCTGCTGTTGTACTTCATATTGATCTAAGAACTGTTGACTTTGTAGCTGCTGTGCCTTTTGTCGCTTGAGTTTATTTTCGGTAAGATCATCGGATTCGAAGTCAACAAGCTTGGAAGATTTCTTCCTCACACGGCCACTACGGGAGATACCCGTGACCTCTAGATCTGAAAGATAAAGCAGACTGCACCTTGCCAAAAAAAAGAAAGGGTCCAATGTACTTTGCAATAGCTAACTACCAGGCTTAAACATTTATAGAGTCAGGATAGACACAGTACAGAAATACTACTTCTATACAGGCTACAATGTATCAGCTACTAAAGATGTGGGCAGCCAGTCGCAGTACAACTTGCACTTCACTTTGCTTCACTTCTTTTCTTTGAGAAATCTGCATTATGTTTTTATGAAAAATAATTATTCAATTAACCATTTTCATAAATAGGAGATGACAATGAGATGTAAGCAAATTTAAGGTGAATGAAGCTCTCTCAATGACAGACATTTGTACATTCCTGATTCAATTTTACTTTTTTACCATTCATCAAGTCCATTCATCAGATATACGCAATAAGTTGCAGAAACGTTTAAGCAGCATGTAAAAATGAAGTGATTGCTGATCTCTTAAAGTCATAGGGTACACAGAAAGATCAGAAAGGTGATTCGGCGTAATCGAGGTTAGCTCGATATCATGAAAATTTGTATTTGTTTTTTGACAACAATGTACGGCGCGCAGTTAGTACGACGATTATCCGCCATATACGCCGAAGCGCTAGCACCTAAATATGTATAATGCAAATGAATGTTACAGAAAGAGAGTTCCGAGAGTTCTTTACGAGCGCGCGCCAGATCATGCGATGTACCGCAAGCAATATCAGCGAGCAAGCAAACAGTCCGTACGATGCAGTCTCAATAGCGTGATGAAAAACCGATGCTCACCGTCGCTCTTCTGAGCGCGTGCTTTCGACGATCCGAACACATCCATAGCGTCCTTCCGCTGCCAAGATGCCGCCTGAACACGCTGAACGCGCTGAACGCGCCGCCGCCGCGGCGTACCCTCGGATTTCGCGGGCTCGTCGCTCCACGCGTTCATGGCGCGGCATTCAATTCGGAGTTCGGACTGTTCGGAGTATTGGCACTTCTCCGCGCTAATATTTTCATGGAATTGCTGCATGGAAATATAATTACCGGCTATTTATGATTTATACCACGGCAGTCTTTTTGTAGCGAAAAGACGTTTTGTTTATTTACACGATCTTTGCAAAAACAAATGCTACACAGGTCACTCAAAAGATGTGCACTCGGTGCAGCGCGCAAGATTTTGAATGTGATCCACATGAAATACGAATCGCTATACAGTTGGAAAATTTATGTTAAATTTAATAAATATTCAAACGATCCGTTCAAACTTTAGAATTTATTTAATACAATTAACGCAGAAATGTAACACAATTTATAAGCAACTATATTTGTTCATTATAATCAGGGCTGGGCACATTTCAAATAATTGTATTTGAAATACAGTATTTGAAATACAATTACTATTTTAAATACTGTATTTCAAATACAATACAAAATGTATTTTATATTTTGTATTTCAAGAAGGTTATTGAATTTTGTATTTCAAATATAATTTCAACGTATTTTGTATTTGAAATACAAAAAAAATCCTTAATAATGATCCTTGATAACAATAATAGTAACTTAAATTTTTTTTTATATAACGGCGATACTGATTATTTTCGTTAACTTTCAAGAAGTGTCAAGTCATCAGTGTTATTAAACCTTATAATCTCGCACAAAAAAATAAATTTCTCGTGAGGTTCTCGTGCGGTTGGTAGCATAGAACAATATAGAACTTTTAAAGAGTACAAGAGAGTGAAGCTCCAGACAATGCGAGGAAATAGCCATAGCGAATAATATGATTTCAACCTATCAGAAATTGTGTATTCCGGTGTATCGCAAACTGTTTGTGGCAAGTGTGAAGTGACATTGTTGTTTTTTGTTCAATTATAATTTAATTATTATGTTCTCTATGTTTCTTGCCAACTTTTGTGTCGAAAGATTATACTATATTAGAATTATTTTACTGTAATGTTTAATTATATTTGCTTATTACTCTGTTTACTTTGTCCAGCCTTTTATACTATATTAGAATTATTTTACTGTAATGTTTAATTATATTTGCTTATTACTCTGTTTAACTTATTACTCTGTTTACTTTGTCCAGCCCTGATTATAATTAACATTTATGACACGTTGAATTAATATGTTTCGATAAATTTAACATTTATGATATGTTAGATTAACACATTTATCTTAGAATTTATGTTTTAAAAATATTATTTTTGTTATTTGTTTATTTACTCATAAATTGTGTTAAATTAACACTCCATAATTTATGATATATTAAAAATTCAACACAAAAAGGGACTTAAGTAAACCGTTTCTAATACAAATAAAATGTTTTTTACTGTGTAGTTTATTTGGAGTTTACAGATAAAGATCGTTTTCCAGTAAAAACATAGTATAATAATACGTACATTACATCCTTATTGTTTACCTTATTGTTATAATATTTAAGAAGGATGAAATGATTCATTGTATTATATTGTGTATTGCTAGAAAACATCTAAAATTTCAATAAATTTCAATTAATTTTTACCAAAATTAATTTTAATTTTAAAATATAAAATTTTGTTCGGACATCGAAAAATGTGAAAGTCAATTACTAATCAAAGATTATTGCTAAGAAAAAAGATTTTATTAATATCGCCTTAAAGGAATCGTGATATTTACGAGCTCGAATCGCCTGATTTACTTTAAACAAGACGCTAATTACTTATATTATACCACGGTTCATAATATGAAATCTTTTTCGCGTGCTATGAAAAACGTGAAGATCGATGATCTGTTTTAATAATCGAGAAAAAAAGAAGGGAAACGTTTGTGGAAAATACAATATGATTTGTTTGTTAAATATCAAAACAAAATAGTTGCTTATAAATACGTAATAAAATTATTATCCGTTTCATCGCGCATTTTCGTTATCTATGATAACGAAGCGTGTCGCCACTTCCGATTAATTTGAAGTGCGCGACCAACTTCAAGCGAGACGCCAGTTTCGACAAATTTCTAATGATTCGCGCCGTACGAAATGTTTCTCCCGCATCGCGATCGCGAATATTATCGACAGTCAGGAAAGATCAGAGGACGAAATCTATACGAAAATCGAGGATTGATTTGAGATCTTCGTTTGTTGTATATGCGACTGCTAATGGGTACGTGACGAAATTATTGTCTTTTTCGTAGTCACGCATTTTCCCAACCGGCGATCGGAATTCGGGAGCACCGCTGCCATTTGCAATCTCGAATAGCAAGATTCACTTTACGCACTGATCGGTAGTTTTTATGTTCTAATGGTATGAAATTTTCCGCGAGATGTGAAAATTATCAATTATTGAGCAAGAAAGAAGAAAGGCATATATGAAAAGAATAGAGAAATTATTCACACTTTCATATAACACAGTTTTCCGAGGGATGTCCTGAAATATTTGGAGAAATATGTTGTGTGTTAATACGAATCGATATTAATATGAAACGGCTATTATTATCCAGACAACACTTTATAACGTCTTCTGGACATACATTGGATAGAAGTACATAATAACCATGGTTTCTAGGATTTCTATTTCGTTTTTGACCGGTAAACTCCAGATTTCAGGTGAAAAAATCTTCAACTGATCGCTCTAAATTTTGATGATTTAAAAAAAAAATTACAGTGCATACAGATAACGCCGACTTTTCTCACTTTTCTGTATCTGATTTTTTTATAGACCGACTACAAGACACTAACAATTCCTGAATTTTGGCAATAATCGATCTCCGGCAGCATAATGGAATCTCTGGCAAAAATTAAGGCTACTTTCAGCAGAACTTTAATCGGAAGGCGATAATCGTGGTAATAACAATTATTTTACTATAACTATAACTATTTTTACTCTTATAGCATTTCTTTCTTAACTGACAATCGTAAGAGATTTTTCATAAATTTTTGTTGCTGATAATTTGTAAATTTGAACTGAAATTTATATTTTAATAACGTCTATTCACATAATATAAGCAATGTATTTATCGTTCATACAATACATATATGTAAAGTACAATTTTATATGTACATACATATTAATCAATTGAGCATCTGTGACAATGAAATGGCGGATACCAACTTTAGTCAAATAATATCTTCATTTATATTAAGTATGATAAAGTTAATACATACACAAATGTAATGCGCTTAAATAGTTAAAATATATAAAATATAAATAATGAAAATACCAACTTATACATATATTATACTTTCAAAATTTATAGTTTATTATTTCTAGATCTTGAAAATACAAAAGTAATTATTATTTTTTATATATGAAGAGAATTAGGATAATTTATATTACTATATAATTTTATATAAAATATTTTTATATAATTTCTCTCAAATAATATTGAAACAGTAATTTTGGAATAGTAATGAAATAGTAAATTTTAATTATCTGTATGATTTTATATATAATTATCTATTGTTTTTTTACATTGTTTCAAGAAATTTTTGATATAATATTATATGTACAGTCATGAATGTATTAATTGAGAAATATCAATGCTGTTTTATAAAACCCATCAAAGTTAAATCGATATATGTACATAGATATACGAACATATCGGAATTAAGTTAAATTATCTTCTTGTTGCCAACCATCTTCATCAGACAGAAATCTCCTTTTGTGACTTGTATTCATATAAGGTCTCAAAGCCCATTCTGTATCAGCAGCTGATTCAGAATCCAGAGTTCCTAATTTAATCTCATATAATTTCATTTGGAAACGTGGTCCAACCTCTGTCAATTCAATATTCTTCCCCTGAGTCTTCTTGTACGTGTGATGTCGGAAACATATGTAGTCATCATGATTAGCAAAACTAATTACTCTCTTGCTATCTTCTTTTGGTACAGGAAACAGGTATTTCAGTATATTTGTTACTCTTATTCCTAATTTGGTTTTAAAATTATGGAAGATTAGATGTGGATACTGCTCTGACATTGTGCCAATATCAGGAATGTCATGTCGCATTACGACACCGGATAATGTAAAGTAGGCTGTCGGTCCATACGGCAAATGGCATATCACCAGAGCATCAGGAACACCTCGATGTTCGTGCACAATGATGAAGTCTGTGACATCATTGGCACGACAAGCATGGATTAGCTGCTTCATCTCATAATTACCACGATTCATTCGCTGCGAGTTTGGGAATATCAGACGGAGCTCCTTCACGAACATCTTCAGCCGGGAGCTTGGGTCACGAGACGTTGTGATGACGATCTTCGGGTCTTCCACACCAGCCCAGCGATACTCATCGTCCTCGTGGTTGACCACGGCACCACCCATCTCCGTACCCATGGCCACTGCCATCTCCGGCCCAGCATCCTCCCATTCGATCTTCCTTTGCACATGTAATGCGCTTTTCCTTAGATCCGGATGGATCGGTATATTCTCTTCCAAACTGTGTTTCAGTTTATCTTTCTTCTCTTGGATACCTTTCACTTTATCCTGCACGGATTTTCTGTAGAGATATTCTCGACGTAATCGTGCTTGTCTCCGCAACATTTCTGCTACTTAAGATTGTATCACGTATTGATTGTTTATAAGAAAAACTTTGTGTATAATATTTACCTCGAACAGCGTGTTTGACAACAGCAACGCGCTCGTTTGGAGGTTATGGTCAGTTATACCATGTGCTTTAATTTAAAGTGCAGCCAGTTTGCAATCGCACACAGTTAAGTAGCACTTGAATATAATTGGTTGGACTTAAAAGTAAGAACCAATCGAATGTAATATTTGATGCATCTGATAGACTAGCTAAATTTGTCCAAAATTGCGTACAAGAGCTGTTCATTATATTTTTTATATATACTATGTTAAAAATTTGAATTGTTAGGAAAAAAACCGTAAAAACACAAATATAACAGAAAGAAACAAATTTAAAATATAAATTAGTTCTAACCCTTTTCTGATTGTATAAAACAACTATTAATAATAAATTTATAGATTAGTTTTTTATGTAGTAATTGTATAATTTTCAGTCGCTTAATTATTTAAAGATTTTCTATGTAAACTTTTTGCATTTAGAGTTAGTAAGATTTAAAATTATTTTTATCATAAATAAAATTTTTTAGATCTACGAATACATCTTTATTTTTTATTTATTATTTTTATTTTTTAATATTTCTTGTGTCTAAAAGTGTATAAAAATCGATAAGATCTTTAGAATTTTAATTAAGAAGATTTCAATTAATATATTAGAATTTTAATTTTAATTCGTAAATTACAACAATTTGAACATTAAAAATTTAAATTTGCAATGTTTGTTTCTTATTTAATATTAATATGATTGTAATATTTTATTTCGTAATTAATACTATATATTATTATATTATTATCTAACTTGATTATTTCTTTTCTTATTTTTAAAAGATTGCATCAATTTATAAGGATCAATCTTGCGCCTATTCTTATTCCACAAAATCATTTTTTAAACATTCTTTAAATGCCTTAAATTTCTCACGGATTTTTATGTTGTTCGAACGATTGTTTTTGTGTGTATCGCAACGTGTACTTTGCGAGAAAATGCAATATAGCGCAACTTGAGAAGTCAGTCTGCTTCCCCACGTGCGGCTTACGGTGTTCGATTTGGATGTGTTATTTTGTGTAACCACTTGAGTGCGGCCAATCACGCATGAAAGTAACAATGAATAGCATCGAAATAGGCGGATAGACAGCCAGACCGGTCATTTTGTCCGATGCGTTCGACCATCTATGCATGCATGTATGCGTGCGTGTGTTTCCCTGTGTGTACACACGTGTACAGTTCACCAGAGTCCACGCCTTAGGCATCCTCTTCCGCATTTCATGTCGTCCGAAGAGGAAAAATTCCTTGGAACGTTCTGTCGATTATATACACGGAGTAAAGAACGTTTTGTTAAATGTTTTATAAAATATTGGAATTAAAAATTTCTTTACAGAATTACTACAATTGTTAAACTAACAATATAAGCTGATGCATAAAAAAATAGAATAATGGAATTTATTTGCTTTGAAATTTAATTGACTGAAAATATGAGATGTGCGCTAACAAATTTGAATTTATAAGATGCAATTAAAAATATATTTTATTGGAAAATTTCATTGAAAAAAAGAATATTACATTTTCTTTATGCATGCTTCTTTTTGCTCATACATTAAATTTCTTCTCTAAATAATTAATTTATTGAATAAAATATTTAGCGTACAGTTTCATTGTCACAACGTTGATTTTTAATGACACATTTTTAATTCTACACATTATTTGCAATCAATGTTAAAAAATAAAGGATTAAAATAAAAAATTCAGAATTGCACTTGATATGAAGAATGAAGTTTAACTTTTACTTTATAAATAGAGTAATCGCATTTATCTATCTCTTATTTAATTTCAAGCAAATTTTAATCAATTTGCAATTTAATAATTAACTACGATATTTATTATTAAAAGTTTGCAACAAAACTCGTATTTTCTTCAAAATCGTTTCGATCACTTTCGTTTAAGAATGCGAAACATCCTGAATAATATTGGCTCACGATATCTGACCCGTGATGAATAGAATTGTTATGAATTGTCTACCCGTAGAGAAACTTGATTTGCGTTACGCGTTTTCCACAACAACGTGTATATAACGATGTCAGCGCGTCCGGGCAATGCCGGTCAGTCCGTATTATAGCAATTCAATAATAAATTGTAGAACGGCTCGGTCGCCGCATTATGCGCCGGTAATCACAGTAATAAGCAGTTCTAAAAGTAACGTAAGTACGTTGTAGGTAGTAACGAGTGGAGCCGTAATCTCGGGGGATGCCTCTTCTGCGTTCGTAGCCAGGTGAAGGAGGAGAGAAATTGAGACGGAGGGCTGAAAGTTAGGGGGAGAGGGGAAATATGAAGAAGGTAAGAGAAAGAGAGAGAGAGAGAGAGAGAGAGCCCATGGGCGTCATCCTCACCCATGTTCTTGAAATCGGCATAATTTACAGCCTCGTTCACGCAAATTAAGCGCGTTTATGCAAGAGGGGCGACATAAAGCACGATCGACATGACGACGATCATTAGAAACCGGACTCGGCTCTACCGGCACTTTTCCTTCCGGCGAAGGAAGTGTTTTACCCTTGCTTGACACCAACAACTATAGTGACAATTTTTGATCGTCTCCAGGCGATGATTTTATTTGTCTTTTATACAGCATTTGAATGTTCGAAAACGATTGTGTAGTAAGGAAGGAATTGTTGAGCATAAATGTTTCATAAATTTGTGAATTTACTTATGTTTAGAGATAACTTTGCGCATAGTATACATATTAGCAGATATACCCGTGATTTACACGGAAAGATAATAATAAGTATTATTTTTCTGAAAAATAAAAAACCCTTTGTTGGGTTTAAAAATAATTTTGTCGGACCATCAAAATAATTTTGTACACAATTCAAATTGATTGCTGGAATATCAAAATTTTTTTGTAGCTCATCATTTTTTTATATAGTTTTCAACATAATTATTTTGATGGTTCAACAAAATTTAAATTTGTAGATCTGCATCCAGCAAAATTTTAAATCTTTCAACAAAATCATTTTTTCAATGTACAATGTATTTTTTAAATTTCTTTTTATATACACATTATTAAAGCGTAGCTAGCAAAATAACAAATCACATAATTACCCTATTTTAATCGCTTAGAATTTAACATTATCGTGAATCAGATCTCATTTCGTCGCGGTTTTTAATGCGACCGAAATTCTTATTTTGGATTGTCAAAATATCCAAATATTTTTTGTTTACTTGTAAATATAAAGTTAGAGAAAGATATATACGATTACACATTAGAAG